CCAATTTAGATAAGTTATTTCACTTAGAATCTCAAAGTATCTTTGGTTCAAACCTGAGGAACTGTAATTAGGGTACATGCTTTATTCACTATGTGCTATACAAATAATTATGATGTAGGAGAGAAAATAGTAGTATCAGAAGAGAGGTAAGAATAATTGCAACTGCAATATACAGTTCACAAAATATTTTTGCTATATTTAGATTATGACAAAGTACTTTGGAAGGATTTGGGAATGGAGAGGTAACTTGGGCCAGGTGAATGGAGAATATGGTATATGCCAGTACTGACCATCAGTGTGGAATTAAAACTTCCCCAGTAAATTTTCAAGATTTACTGTAAACTGTTTATGGTGTTAGTAGGATATTTTGGAATGAGATACAAATTGGCATTTTCCATTGGGAAATGGAAAATGATCTGGACCATTGACTTGATTTCAACATTTTGCTCGGTAGACAGATGGGTCAAACTGATTTGAATACTGCAGATGCAAAATCTATGAACTGAAATTCTTTTAGGATTAAGCAGAGCAAAAAGACAAATTTAGATGACTAAGAGCTTTTTCTCTTCAGCTAATAAATTTTTATAGTAACTATTTTAATTGAGAGTTTTCTAAAATAAATTGAGTATGTCTGTTTCTTCTTAAGCAGAGTAGAGAAAAATAACTTTGATTTTTATATTTTTCTTCTGGTTGGTGTTTGTATCCTTTTCCTTGTGGAATATCAGGTTAATTATGTTATAGAGCTTTTTAAAAAAAATACACTTCACTGTGTTAGCCATTGCTCATATAATACACTCAAATTTCAAATCTTGTTTTAACTGTTTTGTAGAATTTTTTGATAGAAATAGCATGTAGAATGATGAAATCTGACCTCTTTGTGTAGCCATCAGTAGAAACAGCTGTGAGATTGGCAGAAATCACTTAATAGCAGATATAGGAATGCTTAATTGAGTAACTGATCTTTTCAGACCTGCTGGTCGTATTCCAAATCTAAATGAATTGGGAAATAACAAAATATGCCTATAACCCCTCAGTATTCAGACATTCCACCCATAGTAGAACACAAAATAAGTCTGTTCCCTTATGTTTTCTTAGCTTTTTCATCTTCAATAAAAATGGTAGAAAGATTACAATACCCATCTTTAGGCATCATTGAAAGAATTAAACAAACTAAATGAAAAATACACAAAGCTTATTGCATAGTAGATGCTCAGTGTCATTTTTCCCTTCCCTTTGCTAAAGGTTCTCTACCTTATGATGGCAAATAACTAAATGCATGACTAGTGTTCTATATCAGTCTTCTTGTTGCTCTGACAAAATAGCTGAGATAAATAAAGAGTAAAGATTTATTTTGGCTCACAGCTTCATGGTCACTAAGCCCTCTTGCCCTTGGGCATGTGGCAAGGTACTTCATGGCAGCTGAGACACAAAAGAGAGTGGAAGAAAGGAACCAGGATTCTAATATACCCTCAGAGATCCTGTCCCCAGTGACCCAACTTCCTCCAACTCGGCCTCAAACAGAAGTGTGACTTACCATTGTTCTAGGCATCCCTCAATCCAGTCACAGTGACAACCAAGATTAAGCCCTACACACAGCACCCTCCATGTATACTAAGTGCCTATTTCCTTTTTCCCTTACAAGGCTTTTATTTCAAAAACAGAAATAGGAAACTTGTCCCTTTGCAATTTTAAACATAGTTATTTCCATTGCCTTTCTGAGCTGACACACTTGGAATTTTGCAGAAGAAATAAGTATATATGCCATTTGCTTGGTTTATTTAAAATTAATTTATTCTAATTAGGTATATATGACAGCAGAATGCATTTTGATTCATTGTATACAATTGGAACACAAAATTGCATTTCTCTGTATGTGATGTAGCGTCGCACGATATGTGCAGTCGTACATGCAGTCATACATGTACCTAGGGTAAGGATGTCCATCTCATTCCACCATCTTTTCTGCCCCCATGCCCCCTCTCCTCTCTTCCCTTTGCCCAATCACAGTTCCTCCACTTTTCCCATGCCTTGCCTCATTATGGATCAGCATCCATTTATCAGAGAGAACATTTTGCCTTTGGTTTCTTGGGATTGGCTTAGCATGATATTCTCTAACTCCATCCATTCACCTGCAAATGCCATAATTTTATTCTCTTTTAATGTGGAGTAATATCCCATGTGTTTATATACCACAGTTTCTTTATCCATTCATCTATTGAATGGCATCTAGGTTGATTGCACAGTTTAGCTATTGTGAATTGAGCTGCTATAAACATTGATGTGGCTGTGTTACTATAGTATGCTGATTTTAAGTTCTTTGAATATAGACCAAGGAGTGGGAAAGCTGAGTCAAATGGTGGTTCCATTCTAATTCCTAAGGAATCTCTATACTGCTTCCCAGATTGGTTATACCAACTGCAGTCCTACCAGCAGTGTATGAGTGTGCCTTTAACCCCAGTCCTTACCAATACTTATTGTTGTTTCTATTCTTGATAACAGGCATTCTGACTGTGTGAGATGAAATCTTAGCTTTTATTTGCATTTCTCTAATTACTAGAGATGTTGAACATTTTCTCATATATTTGTTGATCGATTGTATATCTTCTGCGAAGTGTCTGTTCAGCTCCTTATTCCATTTATTGATTGTATTGTTTGTGGGTATTTTGTTTTTTGGTTTTTTTTTTTTTTTTTTTTTTTTTTTTTTTTTGGTGTTAAATTTTTTGAGTTCTTTATATATCTTGGAAATTAGTGCTCTATTTGACATGCGTGTAGCAAAAATATGGTCCCAAAATGTAGGCTCTCTCTTGAAATCATTGATTGTTTCTTTTGCTGAGAAGAAGCTTTTTAGTTTGAATCCATCCCATTTATTGATTCTTGATTTTATTTCTTGTGCTTTAGGAGTCTTGTTGAAGAAGTCAGGGCCTAATCCAACGTGATGAAGATTTGGGCCTACTTTTTTCTCTATTAGGCCTGGAGTCTCTGGTCTAATTCCTAAGTCCTTGATCCACTTTGAGTTGAGTTTTGTGCATGGTGAGAGATAAGGTTTAGTTTTATTTTGCTGCATATGGCTTTCCAGTTTTCCCAGCACCATTTGTTGAAGAGACTACCTTTTCTCCATTGTATGTTTTTGGCACCTTTGTCTTGTATGAGATAACTGTATTTATGTGGGTTTGTCTCTGTGTCTTCTGTGCTGTACCATTGGTCTATAAGTCTATTTTGGTGCCAATACCATGCTGTTTTTGTTATTATAGCTTTGTAGGGTAGTTTCAGGTCTGATAATGTGATGCCTCCTGCTTCACTCTTCTTGCTAAGGATTGCTTTGGCTAATCTGGGTCTCTTATTTTTCCAAATGAATTTCATTACTGCTTTTTCTATTTCTATAAGGAAGGATGTTGGGATTTTAAGTGGAATCACATTGAATCTGTATAGCACTTTGGGTAATATGACCATTTTGACAATATTAATTTTGCCTATCAAAGAGCATGCAAAATCTTTTCATCTTCTAAGGTCTTCTTCAATTTCTTTCTTTAGTGTTCTGTAGTGCACCATGATCAAGTGGTGTTCATTCCAGAGTTTTGAGGTTGGTTCAACATATGGAAATCAATAAATAAATTCATCACACCAATACACTTAAAAGATAAGAATTATATGATTTATCAATTGATGCAGAGAAAGTATTTGACAAAATACAGCATCCTTTTATGTTCAAAACACTAGAAAAAACTAGGGATAGTAGGAATGTACCTCAACATTGTAAAAGCTATCTGTCCTAAACCCAAGGCCAACATCATTCTAAATGGAGAAAAATTGGAAGCATTCCCTCTAAAAACTGGATCAAGACAGGGATGCCCTCTTTCACCACTTCTATTGAACTTAATCCTTGAAACTCTAGCCAGAACAGTTAGACAGACAAAAGAAATTAAAGGGATATGGATAGGAAAAGAACTCAAACTTATCATTATTTGCTGAAGTAGCAGGACATAAAACCAATACCCATAAATCAAATGCATTTCTATGAATCAGTTATGAATCTTCTGAAAGAGAAATTAGGAAAACTACCCCATTCACATTAACCTCAAAAAATAAAATAAAATACTTGGGAAACATTTGCTTGTTTTAGGAATACATAGAGTGAAAAACTAACTCATGCTAAATTCCTTCATCTCAGTCAACTTCTTGCACTTCTATCTTTCTGTGAAGTATCCACTTTTCCTACACATATTTCTATACAAACACAGGAATGATTAATTCCTCAGGAATGGAGCTGTGCTGTGGTTTCAATAAAAACACAATAATTTGAAGTTGTAATATACATATTATCTCTGCATGTTTCTATGTTATATTGTCTCTATATCAAAGGGACCTAAATTTCAAATTTGAGATCAGAAAATCTTTTGAGAAAATGTTTCTTTTTTGAAATAATTTAAATCATATGCATTTCAACCTTTCTGCACTAAATTCAGGAAAGTATAAAAAAGGAAAATATCTGACTTGAAATTTTGATAAATTTTGCCTTGATTATTTTATATCTTATTTAATATATGGCAATGAAGCTTTCAGTACACTTCAGTAGAAACTGTGGTGAATCAACATCTGAGTCTTTTGTCTGCCTTATCCCAAATACCAAGCCCCTTCTTCTCTATTTTACTTTCAAAGGTAAAATCATTGTCAGAGTAAATGGATCATAAGAAGACATGTTTTATGTTACTTAAATAATATACCAAAATATACAAACATACATGTATATATGTAGGTAAATCAATAAAACACTCTCATAAAACATGCCTATATACATACATTTACATATACATACAGTACCACCAAATATGTCTACCATTCCAGGAATTGATATGTTGGTTAATATCTATATTTTTTACTAGCACCTTTTCTAATTAGTTATCTGCTTAGCTATATTCACATATATACATTTAGGAAACATGTAGTTTTTTTATATTCACAAACCTATCCAAATTCTATTTGCTCTTTAATTTTCTGTCTAGAAATTGACATTGAACGCTGTGTACGAGAATCAATCAACCTATTTTGTTGGACGCCTAAAAGTGCTACTTATAGACAGCATGCTCAACCTCCAAAACCAACTTCTGACAGCAGTGGAGTCAGAAGTTCACCATATTTTTCAGCTGAATGTGTAGAGCCTCCAAAAACAGATCTGGTATGTATTTGCAGATTGAAATTACAAACTCTAAAAGAAGATGTATGCAAAAGTAATATATCCTGGTATTATTATTGCTCTTAATATTGTTATTTATATCCTTTTTAATGGAGCTATTTTCTAATATATGATTGCATTCACACAGATATTTCAAAAAAATCTCTATTTAGACATTATAGTTAAGAAACTTATTTTACACATTATTTCATATTTTATTTTCTATGCAATCACAGTATCTGTGTATGCATCAAGTTTATGTGTAATAAGAGATACCAGAAGCAAAGGAAGAATTGTTAATAGGAATTTATTTGTTGGTTGATAAAAGAGATAACATTTTGAAAAACTGTTTTTCAGGTTTTTCTATATTGTCCTTCTTATAAAACACAATTTATAAATATGATGAATGTAGCTTTCAGTTATAATTATTCATATGTTCCAAATGTTCTATTACCACAATATATTAATTATTTCCATTAAATCAAATTTCAATTACATATATTGTTTTATGATCCTTTAATATACTTAATAGAGTAGACTTTAACGTAAAATTTTATATTCTAATAATAAACACTTTCCAATTTTTTTCAATTTATTTTTATTTTTATTGGTATACTATAATTATACATAATAGTGGGATTTATTATGGCATGTTTGTACATGTATGTACCATAATTTTATCAGTCTCATTTCCCAGTACCTTCCCATTCCCTCCCCTCCTTCCTTCACCTGATCTTCTTGTTCTAGTCTACTGAATCTCCTTTCTATTATTACTTTTACTTTAATTAGTACATAATAATTACACAGTCTGTGTCTATATAAATATACACACATACATATATATGTACATGTATATACATATGCAGGAATCACTAGTGTGTTTGTATCTTGGTAGCACAATTTGGTACATTTCATTCCTCAGCACTTCCCTATATCCTCCTGTCCTCCTTCTCTCTGGATCCCCTTCCTGTGTTTCTGGCCTTCTCTTTTCTTGAGATTGTCCCCTTTTTTTAATGCCTTCCCCTACCTCTACCCCTGAAACATCCCTATAGGAGTGAAAACATTTGACTCTTGACTTTCTGAGTCTGGCTTAAACATGATGTTTTCCAGTTTCATCTATTTATCCACAAATGACATAATTACATACTTTATAGCTGATTGACTCTCCATTGTATATGTAAACCACATTTTCTTTATTCATTCATCTCTTGACAGGCACCTAGGCTAGTTACATAATTTGGCTACTGTGAATGCTGCTGTTATAAACTTGGTATGCATGTATCTCTACAGTATGTTGATTTTGATTCTTGGGGACAATAGCTGAGCAATAAGGTGGTTCCATTCCTAGTCTGTTGAGGAACTCCTTACTGCTTTCAAAGTAGTTGTGCTGATTTGTAGTCCCACTAACATTATATACCTTTTACTCTACTTCCTTACCAGCAATTGTCATTATTTATGTTCTTGATGATTGTCGTCCTAACTGGAGGAGGAATATCTGTTTTTATGCCAATACATGCTATTTTATTACTACAACTTTGTAGTATAACTTGAGATCAAGTGTTTTGATGCCTCTAATCTCACTCTTACTACTCAGGATTGTTTGGGCTATTCTGTCTTTTTTTTCTCCCATATGAATTCTTGAACAATTTTTCTAGTTCTGTTTATGAAAAATGTCATTGAAATTTTCATGGGGATTGCATTGAAACTATAGATTGCTTTTATAATATGGCCATTTTGACAATATTATATCTGTCTATCCAAGAATATGGAAATCCTTCCATCTTCCAAGGTCATCTTCAATTTCTTTCTTCAGTGTTCTATAATTGTCATTATAGAGGCCTTTTAGAATTATTTTATGGTGGGGGTGGCTATTGTGAATGGAATTGTTTTTCTGATTTCTTTCTCAGCAGATGCATCATTGGAATATAAGAAAGCTATTGATTTTCATATATTGATCTTTTGTCATTATAATTTGCTAAATTTGTTACTTATTAGAAGTGTTTTGGGGGGAGGGGTCTTCTAAGTATAGTATCATGTCATCAGCAGACAGATATTTTCAGTTCTTCTCCTATTTGTAATCCTTAAATTTCCATCTCTTGCCTGATTACTCTGACTAGAGTTTTAAGAACTATATTGAGTAGGAGTGGTAAGAGTGGACACTCTGGTCTTCTCCAGATTTCAGAGGAAAGCTTTTAGTTTTTCCCCATTCACTGTGATTTGGGCCTGGGGTTTGTTATCTATAACCTTTATGATGTTAAGGTATCATTTCTTCCATCTCTAGTTTATTCAGTATTTTTTAAAAATATTTATTTATGTATGTATCTTTAGTTTTAGGTGGATACATTAGTTTGTTTTTATGTGGTGCTGAGGTTCGAACCCAGTGCCTCGTGCATGCTAGGTGTGCACTCTACCACTGAGCCATCACTCCAGCTATTCAGTATTTTTAACAGAAGTATTTTTAATGGAAGCCAGATTTTGTTAAAGGATTTTCTGCATGTATTGAGATGATCATGTGATCTTTGCCCTTAATTCTAAATTATGTCATATATCTTATTTATCAATTTGTATATGTTCAACCAACCTTGTATTCCTGGGATGAATCCAGCTTGGTCATGATGTATAATCTTCATAATGTATTTTTGAATAGCTACTATTTTATTAAGGATTTTTTGCATCTATGTTCATCAGAGATCTTGGTCTATAGTTTACTTTCCTTGATGTATATTTATCTGGTTTTGCTATCAGGGTGATACTGGCTTTGTAGAACAAATTTGGGAGTGTTCTTGAATTTCTATTCATGAAATAATTTGAAGAGGCTATCTGATTGTAGGCTTTTCGTTGTTAGAAAGTTTATTATTACTGCTTCAGTCTCATTACTTGATATTGGTTGTTTAGGTTTTCTGTATTCTCTTGGTTCACTTTGGGTGGGTAATATGTTTCTAGAAATTTGTGAATATCTTAGATTTCCCAATTTATTGGAATATATATTTTTAAAATAGTCCCTAGTGATTTTCAGAAATACCTGTATTGATATCTCCTTTTTCATCTCTATTTTTGTTGATTTGTGTCTTCTTTCTCTTTTTGTTACTCTGGCTAAGGGTTTATCAATCTTTGTTGATTTCAAAAAAAAACAACTCTGTTTCATTGCTCCTTCTTTTTTTAATTCTCTAATTTCTGATTTTAGTATCCCTGTATCATACTGGTTTTGGAATTAGTATATCCCTGCTTTCATGGGCCTTAAGGTGTATCATTAGATTCTTTATGTGGGATCTCTCTCTCTCTCACCGCCCCCACCCTTTTAGTGTACTTAGGCACTTATTACTATGAATTTCCTTCTTAGAAATGCCTTCATAGTGTCCCAGATATTCAGATATTTTTGGTACATTGTACCACTATTCTTTTTTTAAATTAATTTATTTATTTGTTCTAATTTGTTACACATGACAGCAAAATGCATTTTCAGTTCATAGACACAAATGGAGCACAATTTTTCATTTCTCTGGTTGTACACAAAGTAGAGTCACACCATTCGTGTCTTCCATACATGTACCTAGGGTAATGATTTCCTTCTCATTCTATCATCTTTCCTCTCCCCATGCCACCTCCCTTCCCTTCCTTCCCTTTTGCCATGTCCAAAGTTCCTCCATTCCTCCCAAGCTCCCCCCACCCCCATTATGGATCAGCCTTGACTTATCAGAGAAAACATTCAGCCTTTGGTTTTATGGGATTGGCTTACTTCACATAGCATGATATTTTCCATTTCCATCCATTTACCTGCAAATGCCATAATTTTATTCTCTTTTAATATTGAGTAATGTTCTATTGTATATGTATATACTACAGTTTCTTATACATTCATCTATTGAAGGACATCTAGGTTGGTTCCATAGTTTAGCTATTGTGAATTAAGCTGCAGTAAACATTGATGTGGCTGCATCACTGTAGTATGGTGATTTTAAATCCTTTGGGTATAAACTGAGGAGCGGGATAGCTCTGTCAAATGATATTCCATTCCAAGTTTTTAAGGAATCTCCGTACTGCTTTCCATATTGGTTGCACCAATTTGTAGTCCCACCTGCAATTTATGAGTGTGCCTTTTCCCCCACATCTCACCATCACTTAATGTTGCTTGTATTCTTGATAACTGCCATTCTGACTGGAGTGAGATGAAATTTTAGAGTAGTTTTGATTTGTATTCTCTATTGCTAGAGATGTTGAACATTTTTTTAAGTGTTTGTTGATTGATCATATATCTTCTTCTGAGAAGTGTCTGTTCGGTTCCTTAGCCTGTTTATTGATTGAGTTATTTCTTTTTTTTTTTTTTTTTTTTAGTGTTTTTTGAGTTCTTTATATATCCTGGAGATTATTACTCTATTCGTTGTGCATGTGGTAAAAATTTGCCCCCATTCTGTAGGCTTTGTATTCACCTCATTGATTATTTGTTTTGCTGAGAAGAAGTTTTCCACCTTGAAACCATCTCATTTATTGATTCTTGTTAAAAAAAAAAAAAAAGGGGGGGGGGGGCTAATTCAACATGATAAAGATTTGAGCCTATTTTTTCCTCTATTAGGCCCAGAGTCTCTGGTCTATTTCCTAAGTCCTTGATCCACTTTGAGTTGAGTTTTGTGTATGGTGAGATATAGGGTTTAGTGTTTAGTTATCTTTTGCTACCTATGGCTTTCCAGTTTTCTTAGCACCATTTGTTAAAGAGGCTGTCTTTTCTCCATCGTATGTTTTTGGCACCTTTGTCTAGTATGAGATAACTGTATTTATGTGGGTTTGTCTCTGTGTCTTCTATACTGTATCACTGGTCTACAAGTCTATTTTGGTACCAATACTATGCCATTTTTGTTTACTTTTGCTCTGTAGTATAGTTTAAGCTCTAGTATTGTGTATCACTATTCTTGATTGATTTAGGAATTTTTTTTATTTCTCATTTCTCCTATAATCCACTTCTTTCAAAAGAGTATTATTATTCAATTTCCACATGTTTATATAGTTTC